CTCCATGTCCAAAGGAACACATATGCTTAAATCATCCACACGACGCATTTCAATCATGGATTCTTATAAATGATATGAAAAGGAAAAAGGAATGGGAAAACAATACAAATTAACAGAATAATTCTGACCAGTTCCATAATCTAAAACATACGTTTTGTAATTTAATCTTTGTCGAGACTTACTCCAGCTATAGTTCTTGGAGAATAACATCCTCTTGATAATAGTCGGTCTCTTCCAAAAATAAAGGAAAGGGTTACTTGGAGAAATGCCAACAGAGTGAGCAAATTTAATATATCTATGCCCTGCAACAATTTCAGGTCCTTGAAGCTGCAATCCAATCTACCTTTACCTCCAAATTCACTGCTGACATGCAAGCTCCCTGCAGAGTTTGTTTAGAGCGTCAAAACTCTCGTAGCAATTTTTCACCATTCTATCTAAAACAATATCCTGCTACTATAATCGGTCCAATTTCACAAAACAAAAATATTTGCACTGCATCAGAACAAATGGGATAGAAGTATTACATCTATGTTCAACAACACAATTCATATATTCCCTATGACGATCATCCGATTCCTCTTGTTTCCTCATCTTTTCGTTCAGGTCCAATTTGTTCGAATTTTTTTTAATCAATCTTTCATGTCTTTTATTCACCCTCTTTTTACACTCTATTTACAAAATTTTGCTCTCTATCGAAATTACCATCAAATTGTCATGTTTTTATTATCCTAAATTACTACAATTAATTTAAAAAAAAAAATCACTGTAATAGTTGAATTTGGTTTCATTAGACACAAAAAAAAAACAGATAATCCAAGGATAACAGTCAAGAAGTAGAGCGGGAAAGTGGGGGTTGATGGTAGGTGGGGATTATTGAAAAATTGCGTCAAATGACGCTTCTATCTGTATTACTAAAGAATCTCAACAACTAAATTCCGACAATAAGAGAACAAAAATAAACGCTATACTACACGTTCGTGCTTATAAAAAATTACAGATTCATATATTACATCCTCCAAGTGCTAGCATGCAAACGACGATAATGAAATTGAAGTTAATAGAAACAAATAAATAAATAAAAAGGAGGCAAGAAAAAAAGGCAAGATAATAGCTAAAACATATTATCGACACCTACATACCTTCCTTTTCAACAGGAAGGTGATGCCAAAAGCCAAGGTTTCAATCGGCCACTTCCCAAAAGTTTCTCAATAAGTGAATCTAAGAGGCTCCGACACTGTAGAAATCGTCTCTAACCATATTGCTGGAGGTTGTACAAAGCTATGAGAAACTCTATCTATACCTTATGGGCACCACTATTTACAGCACCTCGATTTTCGTCATCATCACCAAATAGTGGGCTCGTTTGGAAATTCTTATTTAACGTATAGTACAAAAATGCGGTTGCCCTGCTGTTGTTGCCATTGTGGCGTTTTCCATGGTTCTCGGAACTGTTGTCACAAAATAAAAACAACTAATTCAAGAAAAGGCAATAGTTGATAAAAGTTGAATTTGAATCTTTTCAATTAACTCTAATAATGACTTGTAGTAAAAGTTAAGTTGCATGGGAAGTGTTTAAATTACAATATAAAAAGTAGATGCTTAAAAGAAACTACTGCATAGCTAGAATGTTTTTTCATTTCCAGTTTCTTTCAAGCATCAAAAGGATATCGATAGAAACATTGTTGAACTGAAAGCTATTCCTTGGATAATATATTGCAGAAGTATAAATAATAAAAATTGAAGTGATTTAAATGCACTATCAATGTTTGGATATTTGAATGTGGAAAAAATAAAAAAGAAAGTGAAAGTTGATATCTTTAAATTTAAAAACCATCCTGATTGTCACCGAGCAAGAACTAAAATCCTTTTAACAATATATTTGAGTCCTTAAGTATAATGGCACAAAAGCATAACAATCAAATAATAAGAAAAAAAAAAAAAACAGCAATGTTTTTAAGACTTTTACATTCATATGCCAGAGGTAATCCTCCACCAACAGAACCTGTAAAATCGTGCCATGCTTCCTAATTTGTGAATTTGAGATAAAGCAAGTGTTTGTGAGTGCACATGTGAGACGCCGGTGAATGTAGCTATCAAAACAACCAAAATCCCATTTTTGCCATATAAGCTGGCTCTTTTTGGTAAACTTTATTACAAATGTTATTTCACTTTTTTCATAATTAACATTGTTACTATAAAGAATCATACTGCTACTAATGAGATGAATAGAGGGATCAACCCACAACTTATGAATGTGTGGATTACAAAAATTGAACATGAGAACTACACAAAACATGTCCTCTTGGATTTCAGGAAGTTTGAAACATCCGAAGTTATCGGGTATTCAGCTATAAAATACCTCTCCAGGACCGCAAAATTCATACCCGAAATGATTATATCAGCTACCTTGCAAGTTGAAGCACTGGCCACCCTCCGATCCACGAACCCACCATAGTAGTCGTCAATTGGACGCAGGACATACTGTCTTCTGCCGACGAACTGTTCGCAAGCAAGATGCACGGGCAGCTGGAGCTTGGCAGACTCGTCAGAGCCTAGGCTGACCAGACCCGAATCAGCAAACTTGTCAGACATCCAACTTGCCGTTTTTGAAGGGTGATTTCATGACCATGTTCACTGCACCCGCCACCATCCTCTCCATCAAGTACACTCTTGTTTCAGACCTCTAGCTTCAGAGAATCGCCTCCTCTCTGTAGCACAACCAACAAATCTTCAAGATAAAATTCCAAGCCCTCTGACAGTCGTGACGGTGAAAAAACGGCGAGTAAGAACTAAAAACTGAGATCTGTAATTTGGATAGAACTTTGAAGTGAAGAGGATGAGAGGCTTTTTTTTTTTTTTCGTGCTCTGTGATTGAGTTAGATAATTGCATGTATAGGTGAAGTTGCGTGCCTATACACGCATAAAATGTTGAAGAGCTTCTGAGCGACGACGGCGGTGGTGGTGTCGTACTGAGGCGACGGTAGTTCGATCTCGGCCATGGTGGTGGTGGATGAGGGCTGAGAGCTTTGAGTTTGGGAATTCTGATTTGGGGTTTCAACTTTCAATGTTTGAACAAAATCTCCTTCTTTTCACTTCGTTTCTCCGTACCATTTGATAAACGGAGAAATTAGGGGAAAATAAGATTTTTCGTGTAATGGTTTCTGTC